GCTGCAGGGACACCAGAGGACCTGGAATCTGCACACCATCTGTAGGAAATCTAAGTGTCTTTTTGAAAGGGCGTGGGGGAGACAGGCTGTGAGCCAAGTGACAGGGGAATAGTCACAAATCAGGTTTGCCACGTACTGGAAAAACTAAAACCACTTCCAGAGCATCTCCTCTGGCACAGAGATTCTCGGGTGACTCGCATATGGACATGGCATGGCGTTAGATTTTAGAGAAACTTGAATACAGAGGTACACACATATGACTGAAGCCAGGGGCTGGAAAAGGCTGGCACGAACAAGTCACGTAAAACAAGGCTGCTGGGACTGCGTTCAAACATAATGGAGCCCACTGAGACCTCAGATGAACAAAGCATCTTCTCCTGTCAGGTTCCTCCCGCCTACCTTGGAGGGGGGGCTGAAAGATAATTTAAAAGCAAACTCAAATCCGTATTTGCTCTGATAAAGAATATACAAAACCCACATAAAGACCTGTTTGATAGATCTGTAATGAAGTCCCCATGGCTTTATATGGTATCACAAAAATCTATTCTCATTTGAGGACTAAGAAGAGAATTGAATATAAATTACATCATCTTCCAGAAAAAAAAAAATCCCTTGCTTTCTCACTGTCCTTGTGGTTCACGTTTCTGATACTGAGATGTCTTTCCCCCGAGGAGCTCGATGTTCACTCTGTGTTTGTACAGCACAGGTACCTCCAGGCACAAACTTGGAGCTGATAGAGCCCTGAGTTGACAAGCGCTGTTGGTATGAAAGGACTCTTAACTATTCTGACCTTTGCTGAGAGGTGGTTCTGGTATGCAGGCAAAAAGCAAGTAAGCTGACATCACAGGGCAAACCCCATATTCACCCTGCAGCACTTTTTGATTGCTTATAAACTTAAACAAGTCTGTATTTGTACAATCAAAACCAGGAACTTGAGGCCAGGTGGTCCCCAAAGCCTCCTCAGGTGTTTGCAGACAGGTCCTGAGCATCACTGCCAAGTAGAACTTCTCATTTCCCTCCTCAGGGCAGCACAGGACAGAGGAGTTCCGGAAGGTGAACGTCCTGATGAAGGTGCCCGCGCTAAAGGACGGTTCTTTCACCTTAGCAGAAAGGTGAGGCGCAAATAAGCTCAAACCCCTTCTACAGTATTGTTTATCTACTGCTTGGATTCTGCCAGTGCACTGTTTGGTCTCTATTGGGACTCCAGCCCAGGTAGTTGTTTGCCTCCTTCCTATCTATTCCACTTGTACATAAAATAAACCCATGTGTCAAGAGAAGCTTTCTCACTAA